CTTTTTGTGTGTAATGTTTTTTCCACAACAAAGAAATTAAAACCCAGCGCCACTACGTAACCACTTGTTGGTTTCGCGGCAGCACCTTATACAACTGTATTTCGTTTCCCTCATGCATGTCGTCTTTTATTTACAATGTATTTAGAAATGAATAGATGTAATGACAGCACCAGGGCTCGCTGCCCACATCCGAAATACTTTTGTTGAGCTGCGTGCAGGGTTTTTGCCGTGAAGGCGTGTGTTTTTCACTGGAGTTCTGAGGCCTGAGACTTTTCTTTCAGAGCTGCGTCACTCGTTTCTTCACAGCAAGGTCGCGCGTCCAGTAAACAAAACAGTTAAAGTGAGTTGCGTGTTTGGCATGAGTGGAAAGTCCTCACGCTCGGCTACCGGTGCTTCGTGTACCGGGACGTCGAGTAGGAGGCCCGATGGTAGAGGTACCGATATTTTTTCACGGTCTCCCCCTGCTGATCGAAGGGCATCCTCACAGTCTGTTTTTTCAGGCGGTGGTTTACCTGATTTTAACGGCTGCAGCGAGGCTATGCTCCTGGAGGCTTACCTCCTATGGGGCCCGTTGCGGGTTCCTTTGTGGACCCTTCCTCGCATGGCGCTGGGTTTGCCTCCGAGTTGAGGACTTTGGTCAAAGGACTGTCGGGGCAATTGCGCCCCTGGCAGGCCGGGTAGATCAGACGGAGTCAGAGCGAGCTGTCTCCACTGCAGCCCCTCGGTGGACAAGCAGGAAGAAACACGAAAGCATGTTTGCATTCAAACACGTCTTTTCCAGGCAACCCCCGTTCCCAGCTGTGGCTCTCCCACTAATTTGGGTGAGGCCAAGGCTCAGGCTAATTGCATCGGGCCTCCTCTGGAGCCTTGGGCACTGAATGCCAACGGGGTGCTGGCAGCCAAGCCTCTGATCTCGGGGCAGGGCTTTCAGGGCAGGGCACACGTTGACCCCCCTACTTTCAGCCAGCCAGGGTTCGCCTCGCGGTAACGGTACAACGGCAACGAATTTATCCTTGTGTCCGGTCTCCGCTGTAGGTTTTGACTCCCTTCTTACCGACCCACGGGCGTCCCCAAATCTTTTCAGTGTTGAACATTAACTTGCTGCAATTCACGTCTCGATTTTGTAAATGTGTATTCCCTTTTAGGTATTAAAGGTTGGTTTCCACTGAATTCACCAGATGATTCTTGTTGCCATGGTAATGGATTACACCCAAGTGTGGGTGGTATAGAGATTGATGTACAGATGGCACGTTCTTCTGATAGAGAGAAAGTTATTCACAATGCGAGGGATGCTGGTTGGTCACCTCTTCAGATTCTGCCAGAAGGTAATGACACTGCATGATTCTGCATTATGCAAGAATTCAAACATAAAAACAGGACAAAATAAGGTCATAGCAAATTTCACAAATGAAACAATTTTCTATTGTCAGATTGAATAATATGTAATACACTGTGCTTGTTGATTGGCTGGTTTGATTCAACTGCCATTAGAATCTATGAATATATATAAAAATAAAGGAAATCATTTTAGTTATAGAGTATACCTTTGTTTTTTTATTTCTAAACATTGTGTTTTATTGAAATAACACGACTTTGTATATTTTGTTATTCAGTGCAATCAAGTGACTCCCTTTATGAGGTTACAGTGAATGTGGACTATGCTATAATTCCTGAGACATTGACTCATGTATCTCATCAGAACACAGTAGATAGATACACATCAGCTTATGTCAGATATCAATTCTATGATAAAGGTAAGTTTGTCTATCTTTGTTGGTGCTTCATAGAGAACCACAACACAACATTGCCTAATACTGTAAAATACTTTTTTGTTTTGTATGGAATTTATTTTCAGTGATTTTTGATGAGTTGAATGTAAAATATAGGAAAAAAATATATTTGTTAAATTTTATTTTCAGTGAATCATTTCTTCAGCGAAAATAAAGAAAATCTATTCCAAGTGAAAATAAAGTATTTTAAATTAGTACAAACACATAGTATATATGTTTTAATAGTAAGCTATGTAAGATAGCTTGGATCTATTTATTATAAAAATTGTTATCAGATCTCTGCTGTAGCATCTCTGGCTCTAATTTGCATTAATGGCAGCAGTGTTTATAATTTGTTAAATTGTTGTTTCTT